GAAAGGGGGCTTCTGATGTGAAAGAGGGGCTGTGATGTGAAGGGGGACTTTGATGTTAACAAGGGATACTGATGTGAAGGGGCGGGACTCTGATGTATAAGGAGGGGACTCTGATATGAAGGGGAGCACCTAGTGTGAGAGGGGTGACTCTAATGTGAATAGAGGGGGCTCCGGATGTGGAGGGGGCTCCTGATGTGAAAACGGGTACTCCGAGTGTGGATTACATTTCTATATTTATATTTTTTTACGTTTTAGACTGAAAAAAAAGGTTGAGAAGTGCTGGTCTAGGACTCCGGTAGGCAGACATTGGGCATGAATCATAAATATCAAAATCTTTTATAGCTGCAACCAAAACTGACTTTTTTTCCAACCTTTTTGGTTTTTTTTAATGTAATTATTTTATTTTTCTGTTTTTCTGTTGGGGCTTTGGGAATTATCCAGGTCTAAACCGACTCCTGATATTTCCCTTTTAAAATAGAAAAATAAATTGAGTCCTCAATGTCCTTTTCTGCAGCCCCAGCACTCAATGAACAGGAATATCTCAGGACAGAGGCTTCCTGTTCATTCACAATCTGGAGATAGTAAATATTTACCATCAACCCAGTCATGAATGGACAGGAAGCCTCTGTACTGAGCTGCTTCCTGTTCATTCATAAAGTGAGCAGATAGTTACTATGTCCCCATCCATGAATGAACAGGAAGTGATGTATAGCACTTACTGTTCATTCATAAATGAGGACATAGTAATCACTTGTCCTCAGTTATTTGCAAACACCGAGTGATCAGTACTGTGTACTGATTGCTCAGTGTAACCATTTTACCATTTTTGTTCCCTTACTACAGGATTTTCTCACATACCGATCTAAATGTATTTAGTCTATGTGTCACCACCAGATATGTCTATCTGTTCTTAGAATTGTGGTTATGCTGTGCTACCATTGGGATGGTGCTCTATGTTTATACCTCTCTATAATTTTTTGGGGTTGCTTAGAAATCACCGTGAATCCTTCCTCTGCTTCCAATGTTGACACACGGTTTGATTGGTGTTTAAATGTGCTTATTGTTCATTTTTTCAGACCTTAATCTTGACCATTAATTTATCCAATATTAGAAATACCTTTACGTCCTTTTACTTTTTTTCCCTTGTGGTCCTGACCATTATGTGATTCATATAGATGTAAACTGCATAAAGCAGTTGTCAAATAATATGTAATGTATTATGATGGTGCACCAACCAATTTTTAATTGCTGTGTTTTATATCTATATTAAATAAATTTTTATTTTGTATACTGTTTTATACTGTTTTACTTTGGGTGCAATGGCATTAAATCCCTCCAAAAATGTTCTTGTTGCTATATAATGTGATAAATGTGCATTGTTAATCCAGATGATTATTTGCCAAATGCATGGCACATTTTGGATAAATCCAACATTGAAGCCTTCATAAACAGGACCCCTATATAATGAATTAGATTAATAATATATTAATATCTGGGGTTTGGAATAAAAAAAAAAAAACTATGCGTCCCTCGTGACAATCTACTTGTCGTGATACAAAAAATCTTAACCAAAACCGTATTTAACTGTGCTAAGAAGTGCTTCTCATTGGTCAGCATGGTCAGGTACTGCACTGGATGGCAGTACAGGGTATAAATTGTACACCCATAATGACGGAGGGAAAGGACCGTTTGCCAAAAGGTACATATAGCAAGGGGAGGGGGGCAAATTCGTGCGGGTAATTCCATTTTACCAAATTACTTGGGAAAGTGAGCTTACCCTTTAATGCACGTTGTGTGCGTTAGGAAACATTGCTGCCCGGCTACCAAAGTATGTCACACAGTGGAATGGGGGCAGCACTCAGTGCCCTACACATGCATTTATTCGCATGCAGATGGCGGGGTTGTTTAAATTTTATTTTTCACATGTTTTCATCATATTATCTTTTATTCGTTTAATTTATTTATTTTTTTACTTTTTTTTTTTCACTTAACTGTATTGCTATCACACAGAGGCTAACAAGCCCACAGCAGGAGATTCATCCATCCACGCTGTTTAGAGTGGATGGAGGAATCTGTTAAATTTTCTTCCTTCAGTCCACAGGTTGAACAAAGAAAATATTGTGCGCTGACAACACACATCATTTTTGTAGACTGAGCAATGTCAGCCCTGCCCAGTTGTCTTTTGCTAAAAGACTAAGGAGAACTAAATAGCCTCTTTCAGACAACACAGCAAGTGTGCACAGAACACAGGACAGCTCTGAATTTTTGACAAGATTAACACATGCAGTGCGGGAAGTGCAGTGTGTTGCCATTCCTTTGAATGGCACCCAAAACGCACCTCTTGCCCTCAATGCTCTCAACCAGGCCGCAGTGTGCGGTACCGCAATACCCTGCATTGCAGTGCATTTGAAAAAAGTGGTGCATGCACCTTCTAATGAGTAGCGGTTGGTGTGTTGCATGGTAGCGTGTGTTAGCTCTATGGAACTGTGCGATTAACGCACAGCATTGGTGTGACAAGCCCAAATTTTCTTATGCTTATGAAAGCAATATAACAAAATGCTTCCAATGATGTGAGACCAAAAGGGAGCAAATAGGACATACCCTTTAAAGACAGCTGAGAGTGATTTTACATATAAGACATACATTAATGTCACTCATTGTTTAATTCTAGGGGAGACGACAGTTCAATCTGGGGAAGAAAGAACTCTCTGATATCTCAAATCAATCACTGAATGGAGTCAGTCACAAGAAACGGAGATGCACAGAAAAGGTAGCACCGCCTTCCAGCAAACATTTGTACTACAGTCAAAACGTTTTGTTTTAGCTTTGGACAGAGTGGGGAAGAACTTAGAACTTTTCTCAGGTTTAGGGAGATTTCCTCTTACTTCCAGGAAGGAAGGAGATCCTCTCCAACAAGGACATGGCAATCAAACACTCTTATTCACATACTCCCACCAGTGGCGGAACTACCGCCGGTGCAGCCGGGGCCTGAGGCTGTGGGGGGGCCCAGTGGGGTCCGGTCCTGGACACCCCCACAGCCTCAGTTGGGTCCGGTCCTGCAATATGGGGCAGTGCACTGTCCCGGTGTTCGAACACCGAGGCCCCGCAGTGCCGACGGGCTTCTCAGTGAGGGCGCGGGTCTCTCAGTGAGGGAGCTCAGTGGTGTGCTCTGCAGGGTCTCAGGTAAGTCCAGCACGCTACTGATTTGTATTGAATCACTGAGTAGAAATGGCACCACACCCCCAATTACTAACAGTATTTTTATATTTGTTTAACCTTTGAAGGTGCCAAACGACAACATAATCAGCTGATTACATAAAAGCCATACATTTATTTAATGTCCCACATAAAAAACAATGGATTAAAAAACAATACAAACAGAACATTGTATAGTCCATCAATTGTACATAGTTCAATATTTTCCCATTTCATATAGGGGATACCTCCTTGGGCCTCGCATACTGGCTTCAAATAGACATATATTAACAATACGGTATGCAGGTATGTATCAATTACAGCTATGTGGTGAGTGGCCAAATCTTTGACGCGTTTCGTCTATGCTTCCTCAGAAAAGGAGGTAGCTTGAGACAACTATTTAACGTTTGACACACAAATGATGGTGGGAGAACCAAACCCACTTTGTCCAAAATTAAAGAATACAAATTTTGATTTTCTACTTTAAATAAAAAAGAAAAACTCTGAGATCAGCGATTGTCTGAGTTTCTCTACAGAAAAGGAAACAATTGCTTCAGTGCAAGTCCCCTAACACCCCACAGTTGAAGTTTTCATCATCATGAGGTTTGGTAGTCACGAGACAAGCATTGCCATAAGTGTCCATTGGTATAAGTGAGAGATTTCCCGATGGTCTGCCTCAGTTCTGTGTTCAGGATCTGACCCCACGTTGAAAATATTGAATTAAGCCACATTTATTGTTCAAGCGATTATATCTTTAGTTATTGTTCAATTCTGTATTAGCAGTGTGACCCTGCAGGCAAAGAGAATTGTACGGACACCTTTGAAAAACCACAAACAAGAAATGATCCAAAGAATGCACAATACACAGGAGAGGTACGAGCCGACTGCCATGCAGGAAATGCCTTTTCATCCAATATAATTAGTTAATTAGTTGTCAGTGTAATGGTCTTAAATATATTTGATATCAACCCTTAAAATGTATCTGAACCCAAGAACAAAAATGTAATATATTCTAGCTTACCAATACTTAGATGTGTTAGCTGCATTTGTTTTGTTTTTTCAGGCTTCATTCCTTTAATTTCACCTGGTGATCCTGCCAGTAACACAAATCCTGCCCTAGGGTCTCAACACTCACTTACTGTACTGTGTCTATGAAGGAGCAGTGTTGTCACCCCAGGACAAGACTACAGAATGCTCCCTCCTCATCTCTATAACATAGGGAGGATGTGTTCTCCTAAGGGAGAGCTGGGAACAATATAACTAATAAGAATGCAGCAGAGAGCACAGGAAATTTTTAGCTCACATAATTTCTAGGAGGGTCAGCAGGGGTTAATCCTGGAGTTCTTTTTACAGAATCCCTGGCATCCCTTTACCTGTGTGAGCAAAGACATGGGCTGGGCTGTGGCTGAGTCGATGAGGTTAAGCACAGGGCCGGATTTCCCACAAGGCCACTGAGGCCTGGCATCGGGCCAGCAGGGAGTAGAGGGGCGGCAGGGGTGTGCAATTCCTATTGCCCGACGTCCAGGACATGCAGTTCTGGTTGGGTAGTGTTTTCAACATATAGCCCTGCTTCAAGCCAGCATGGCTAAATGTACAGCTGGGAGACTGACACTCTTTTTGTACAAGTGATCTCAGCGATGTCGAGATCACTTGTAATTAGCCTGCCTGTATATATATATATATACAGTATATATATATATTTTTTTATTTTTTTTTAAAATTAATTATAGATAATATATAATAAAAAATAATATCTATTTTTCCTCTAGAATCAAAACACTATGTATAAAGACATTAAGACAAACATGTCTTCTGAAAATGTCCCTGTACGTTTCAAGTGGATTAAAAAATCAAAAACCAGACTGACCACAATTAGCACAAGCCCACACACAGCTATTATTGATGCGCTGAAGACATCTGATACATTTAGAAAGTATCACAAGAAAGAAGCACATTCTCTAATTATACATGGTAACAAAATTCGTGCACAGATCAACCCATTGGCTCCTTGTGGAGCTCTAAGGAAAGATGAAGAACTTGAACTAAGGGATAGCAAGTCTTCTAAGCAGAAAGCACTGGAGACGACATCTTACCCAAGCTGTATTGGAGGTGTTTTCATTAAAGTGAACAAGAAAGGGAGGACCCTAGGTGGACAATCCAAGATCATATTACATAATAAGGAATCAAGTAAAGATGGAATACCACTCGCTGTCTTCGGATACAAAAAGGAAACTGTTGAGAAAGCACTCCTCAATGATAAGAGGTTTGATGTGTTTGGCTCATTTAAACTTGAAGGGACAAAGGGGGAAACATACGACAGCCATGTGCAATTGGCCCAGCTGCCAGATGACATGTACACTGTTATAGTACCTCAGACAAACAGGGATAACAGTTCAAATCCACAAGAGCCTAATAAGTCCTCGAATCCACCAAATAATGACCTCAATCAGTTTGTCCCCACTGAAGCTATGAAGAAAACAGCTGAGACTCTTAGTGAAAATTTTAGGGCGTATGTCAAGTACCATGGGGGCCTTAGAAAAGCCTGGCGTTTCATGAAAAAGATGTACTGTAACAATATGAAGGAAAGCCGCTTATCCACACACACCCATAGAATGCTTGTACAACGTGCAGATAGTGTAGGTTGCATTGTGAGTACACAGAGTGGTAACAGAGAAGCCCTTGGCACTGGCTTCCTTTTGAATGGGTGTGTGGGTCTCACCTGTCACCATGTAGTTGAGAATTTATTGAATACAAATGATCTAGCGATAATATTTAAATATGATAGGGAGGGACAATCTTTACAAGAAATCCAGTTTGTTCTCCAAATTGAAATTATTTTTCATAATAAAGATGCTGATTTTGCCTTTTTTCGAATACCTCCGCATCTCAACTGGCCAGGGGGTTTGTTAAAACATGTAGTTATCCCCCCAGTTAATGGTCGTGTGAGTATCATTGGACATCCTTGTGGTCAGTACCAACAGATTGATCCAGAATGTTCAGTGATCAACCTCTATGATCGCGTTGATGAGATTAAAGATAAAATTGCGAACGACCCAGCATTCCTCAATATTTTATCACAGTACAATTTTTTGGAGATGGCTAACCCACGATTATTGACCTACAATACATGCTTTTATTTTGGGTCTTCTGGTTCCCCAGTTTTCAATGACAGTGGAGAGCTTGTGGCGATGCACCAGGGAGGGTATGCAGTTAAGAATCTGCGTAAAACAGAAAGTCCAATAGAGTTTGGCAGGAACATTGTTGATATTGTAATTTGTGGAGCTTTGGAAATAGAAGATTTACGTCTACAGTTTAAGAATGTTGTTGAACAAAATGAATCACTTCGTGAATATATTAAATCTGGTCAGCATCCAACTCGTATGCAGCCCATTATCAGACAACTTTTACAACTGTGGGAAATCAATGACAGCGGTGTTGGTGGCGATTCGGATATGGAAATGTCATAACTTGATTTCCAAATACAGCATCCCTGTGTTTTAAACGTAAAACACTTTTTTTTTTTCATTTTGGATAGATAAGGGGAGTGGGGGGTTAAAACCGCTGTCAGTTTTTTTTTTTTTTCTGCCACCTCTGTTTTATGGAGATTTCCCTTTACTTACAAAGAGGTCCAGTCCCTGGATCTCCCCATCCACATTTAGAGTTTCCTAATTCAGCCCGCTAAACAGCATGGATAGAATAATCTCCCCTGCAGGCTATTGAATTCTGATACCCAGCGCCTGCAGCTGTCTGAATATCTGAACAACACTTGTGGCTCAGATTTCAGCCGATTTAGCAGGATAATCTCCCCTGATAGTTTGGTTAGTGTCGCGTCTGAATGCCGCTCCCAAAGCACTAGGTCCTCAGTGCCCAGGGGACTGGCAAAATTTGTAATTGTTACAAAATGCATAATCCATGGCTACACAGGTGGTGTGATCAGATGATGCCAATGGGTGGAAGTGTCGGGTCTGCCGGGTTCAGAACGTGTGCCAGGAGCAGCGTTTAGCCAAAACGCTATCCAGACTGCCAGGGAATATTATCCAGTTTGTCCAAATACTTTGTGCACACAGCATATGTATCTAAATACATATATATTACAAATAATTTAGGTAGCAAATTAGTTATAGCGTTATGATCAAGGCTTCTGACCTCTAGCCTTAAAAGGATTAGGGTTATCACAAGAGGCAAGAGGACACCTCTTTTAACCACTTGCTGACCGGGGTGTTTACACCCCCTTCCTGGCCAGGCCATTGTTCAGTATTTAGCGCTGCGGTACTTTGACATTTATTCCGTCATGCAACGCTGTACTAAAATTACTTTTATACAATTTTTTGGGAAACAGAGCTTTCTTTTGGTGGTATTTAATCACCACTGGGGGAGGGGTTACTATATTAAGAAAAAAATACCAAAAATGTTGGAAAAAAAACGTTTCCCCCTTTATTATGTCATGAAACATTTATTACTAACCAATGTTTTGGTAAAATATAAAAGATGGGGGGTCGCATCGGGTAAATAGACGCCAAACACGTCAAGCCTTACAATTGCGCACGTCTGTGAAACCACAAAAAACTGCCCAAAAGCTTATACCGCTCATCAGTTTAGTGTTATCAGTGAATGATGGCTCTAGAATTATTGCTTGCACTCTGACTTTGCGATGATATGTAACATGTGCGGCACAATTGTCATTTTTGCACGTTGGCGCACCCAACAGGTATTTACATTTATATGTGAGTATAAGTGAGGGTGGGGGAGTTTTAAAAAAAATTGTTTTTTTTAAACATTTTCCTATGTGACTTTAATTTCTTTTTACTTTTTTCTTTTTTTTTTACACTTAATGTTATTGCCATCACATAGGAGGCTAACAATACCCCTATATCATAGCACAGGCACACTGACAGGTCCTCTTTATAGAGACATCAGGGGTCTCTAACACCCCTATTGTCACCTAGGGACCCCCAAAGAAGCTGATAAGCAGAGATCTGCTTCACCAGCTTCCTCTCTGGCTATAAAAGCCAGAGAAATGACAGCTGAATGTGGAAGGGATGTAATACACACCACTTCTGCATTCAGAGATCGGAGAAGAGATCAATAGGTGGGGGGAATGCTGATCTCTGATCTTCATGTTGAGATCCACCAATCCGGTCCCGGGCCTGCAGAGGGGACAGCGGAGCCCGGGATAGCCGGT